ATTTACTTTTTTGGCATTACGTTTATTTCTGAACTTAATGTTTTCAGTGTCTCAATGTCATCCTCATAGTTCCTTGCTGCAGTCTCTGTAATTTTGCCCCAGTCTGAGTTTCAGTCCACCGGTTCTCATTTATGTCTACTTGCTCCTGAACTTACTGCTTGCTTGCTTGCTTGCTTGCTTGCTTGCTTGCTTGCTTGCTTGCTTGCTTGCTTTTTGAGACAAGCTCATGATGTGCAGTATAGTCTGCCCTCAAACTTGTACTCTTCTTGCCTCAGACTCCTGGGTGCTAGGATTATAGACATCAGCACTATGCCTGTTTTTATTTTCTGTTTTTTTTTTCTATCTATCCCTTTCTTTTGAGCTTTGTTACAGGATTTACATTAAAACAAACCATACCTAAAGCATACAGTCTAATAAGTTTTGATAGATGTAAATCTATATAGGACCTTTTACATCACAGTCCTATCACCTTCCAAAGGAAGTTTTCTCTAGTCCCTTAAAACTGTTCCCTCCTTTCTTCTGCTCCATACCCAGGCTCCCAAGCAATGGTTGATATGCTTCTTATCCTTTAGATTAGTTAGCTATTTTTAGATTTTGTGTAAAAGAACACCCCTTTGAATAGTATCCTTAGCTTGACATATTTTGAAGGTTTTAGAGGCATCAGGGGTGACTTGTGGTTTAGAACCCTCGGAGAGCAGCAGTCCTTGCTTATAGAGGCATTATTTTCCAGTTTCTCTTTTCAGTACAAATGCAGCTCCAGCCTGACTGTACACGAGAGCCCTCTAACCAGCTTCACCTTGTTACCCTCTGATGCTACCCACTACTAAAGCAAAGGCTCTATGCCACAGAGTCTCCCCCATGCTTTAGGGTGACTGCCACTGTAATTATTCCCTCAGCCTTCTAAGTGTGAATGTCTGTGTGCCCTGGCAATTATTCCTACCTTTTTCAAAGCTCAGTTTTATTTGTTTTTATGTTGTTCCTCCCCACCCCCACTCACACCCCCAGACAAGTTTCTCTTTGTAGCCTTGGTTTTCCTGGAACTTGCTCTGTAGACCAGGCTGGCTTCAAACTCAGAGATCCTTCTGCCTCTACCGCTACCCTGCTTACAGTTTTAGGGAGTTCACACCATCATTATAAAAAGTCAGGGTTCTCACTAAAACCTTTTATGTCCTTAGATCCTCAGTGCTATTGCTATCTTCAAACAAAAACACTTTATTATTGTCCCGTGTTTCATCTTCTAAACATGTTTCCACGTTGTGTAGTTGAAATCCTGCTATATGAAGAATTCTTACTTCAGATCCATTTTTCCCTAATCCATGTTGTCCACAGCCATCAGCTTCAGTGTGTATTCCTGGGGAGCTGAGGGCCCAGCAAAACAACATCTTTGGCACAGCCCATTGAACAGAACTTGGGCATCTGTTGGCTCCTCACTAGTGCCTGAAGTGTGACTTTGGCTGTGGACGGCCACGGTCCAGAAGCCTGTGGTGCTGGCCCTCCATATGCTGCAGCTGTCCCGCTGTCCTAGCCCTCTTGCCCTTTGCTGTTTTCTGCCTCATCCATCACAACAGCACTTTAACGCAAGGTGATTGGTCACATAGTGTGTTTGCAGCAAACCTTTCTGACTTGCAGTATGTAAATGTTATTCATCAGATGCGGGCTCGGCAGCTGTTGCCTTTTTTGAAGCCCTGGCCAATTCCACTTGACTGAAGATGCTTGGGTGTGAAGGCTTCAGATAGAATCTGGTTACCACGCCTGGAGGTGATCAGCGATGTTGTGTCAGTCCTGTGATGGGTGTGAGATGCTGTGTGTACTGTGAAAAGGACAAGGGAAGGGAGCTTGCTGGCCATTTCATTAGGCCAGTAGCTTCTGATCCTGGCTTTGCTTGTTTGTTTGCTTGTCTGAATACAGTATATATTTTGAATAAAGGGAGGTGATTCCTCATATTGATCATTAATATAAGAGTGGTCATCATTATAGACTTGGTACCATGAGAGAGCTGTTTGGTATGTAATTATGAGCAACTACACTCGACAATATTGATCCCCTAATAGGAAGGGGTTTTAAGGATCTGTTTGTGGGTTTTATAGATGTTGTTTCAATACAATGGTCATTAAAAAGGCTGTTTATTTACGTCATGTCAGGTTTTAGGAGTTTTATAAAGTTGTTTTTCCCCAGTTGCTATAAGTCATAAGGGCCATTTCCCCAGAGAAATGAGAAGAAAAAAAAAAGGTTAAATGCACAGTAAGAGGTTACCAGTGTACAGGTGTTGGCTAAGTGTCTCTGAATGTCTCAAGATTTGCTACTCATTTCATCCACTGGAGTGAGAAAGCCTGAGAAGTGTAGTCATTTATTCCTCATCCTTTCTTTCTTTGCATCCTGCCTTTAGATATTTCCTGGGTGCTTTTCATGGAACTGGCCCATAAACTGAGTATAAGTCAATGAATTTAGTTCTTCCCTGACACTTGTAATGTAAGGGAAGGAGGAGAACCATTTTGCATGGGCATTTGTAGTTAGTAGAAAACATTTTGATTCAGAAAGAGTGTAACAGGATTTGAACTGTCTTTAAAAGCCTCCCTCATCCTGTCTTCTTGCCTGGAGGTTGGCTGTAAGGGTAAAGTGATGACATGTGTGTTTGCGTGGATGGTAGTGGCTGCGTGTGTACATCTATGCAGGTGTGGGAGGAGGCCAGACGATAGCCTCAAGTTTCTTTCACTATGTTGTTTGAGGCAACTCAAACTGGTCTGGAACTTACCACGTTAGCTGGCTGCCTGGATGGCCAGATAGCCCCAGTGACCTGAGGAACACAGGAATCACAAGCACATGTCATCATGCTTAGCTGTTTACATTTGTGCTGGTGGTCAAACTTGGGTCTTCATGCTTGCTTGAGTTATCTCCTAGACTCCTCAGTAGTTAGTAAAGCATAAGAGATTGGTAGCCTAGCAATGGAGATGGTGGATTAAATATGTATTTATTCAAATGTGGAGCCTGTAGATATTGCTATAGATTGCTATATTGTTATAGAGTGTGAAAAACAGTGGGATCAAGGACAACTCCTACTTTTTAACCAGCCATTCATCTCTTTTTACTGAGATGGTGAAAGCATACTTAGAGTAGGGAGTTGAAGAATTTAGTGAATATGCAATTGAAAGGCCTATTACACACAAATGGAGATGTCTGTATGCAACTGGAAATGGAGGTCTGGAGTTAAAGGGCAGAATTGGGTAGATGTCTACACACAGAACCAACACTGAGACTGAAGCTGTGGGAGAGACTGACTTGTGTAGCACCTGAGCCCCATGGCGAAGCCTTAGCATACTTTACTGAGACTTGGGCGTCCAGAGGAGGGGATTCTGCAGAAGAGCCCAGGAAATGGTGGGGGTGGGGTTGAGAGGACAAACATTTCATTAAGTATATATAGCTCTGTCGAAAGAGAGAGCTCAAGTAAAACCAGGATGGAGAGTTAACGACTGGGTTTAGCAATCTGGAAGTGTGTGTCAGTGTTAGGGAGGGATGGAAACCCAAATCTGAGAGAACCTGGAATACTAACTGTCCTGTTGGGTGAGTCTTTGAGGGAGGCTTGCTGTTAGGGACACAGAAGAAAGAGGTGACTGTGAGGAAAAAATGAGAGCAGGGGGAGCTTTTGTTGTCAATACCATTTATCCCTAGAAGGCACAGATGTAATGGCCTGGTAGATTTGATAGAAGGATGATGCTCTTTAGATTACTTTCAGTGAAATGGGATTGAATCATGAGCCAGAGGATGAGGGGAGTTCGACAATATTGTAAGTTTGAGAAGCAGTGATGTGATGAGACGAAAACTATGTGGAGTGTGTGTTGTCTAGGATGGCAGGTGATCTTAGAGTCTGAGGTCAGTGTGACATCACAAGTCCTCAGTGTTCTTACTGGTATTCTGTTGAGAGGAGCCAACACCTTGGTGCTGGAGGCTACTAATCGGGAAGGATAGTCAAGGGAATTCTGCTTTGTTCAGGGAATATCTGAAGTTCCTTGGTAAATGACGATTACAAAACCTTTAGAGTGCTAACATAAAATTTGACTGCTGTACACTGTTGGGGTGTCAGTGATGGTGACTGTTACAATAAAGCCTAAGGGGAAGCTTGTGTGTGGGACCTTGGCGGATTCCATGTCAGACGAGGTTGACCAACTAAGTCGAGGTACAAACATGCCAGGCAGACAGAGCTTAAGTGAGAAATTATTGGGGGAGGGAAGTAAAGAAACACAGAGACAGAGAGGACAGAAGAGAAGAGGGAGACAGGAAAAGTCCTGTCTGCTCCAGGGGAACCATGGTGGGAGAGAGCAGAAAGAGAGGAGCTAGAGAAAGCTGGAAAGAGAGGAGCTGGGAAAGAGATTCTTAAGTGGGCAGGGGTCTTTCTTTTTTTTTTTTTTTTTTTTTTGGTTTTTTCGAGACAGGGTAGCTTTGGAGCCTATCCTGGCACTCGCTCTGGAGACCAGGCTGGCCTTGAACTCACAGAGATCCACCTGCCTCTGCCTCCCGAGTGCTGGGATTAAAGGCGTGTGCCACCAACGCCCGGCAGGGGTCTTTCTTTTAAATGGGTCTTTTGCACCTAGGCTGACCGTGGTACTGTCTGAGTGCATTCTTCCAGGTGACAGGGACAGGCCAGCATAATGCCTGAATCCTTATAGTGACTAGAGACAAGTCCCCGTGCCTGCTCTACCTCGAGTTTCTTTTCCTGGAGTCTCACAAACGTAATACTTTGTGTTTACTTACAGAAGTATCTTATTGATCCTTTTTTAAGAGCTAAATTTGTATTTTTAATTATTATTTTACATTCTCTAGTTCAACAAATCATTTAAAATTGTGACTAATGTCAGTTGTCCTCAATTTCTGAAAAAGAGCAAGAGTGAGCATCTGTTTTGATACTGACTTTGTAATGTGTGCAGCCATCTGGCAGGAGTCGATCTGGTGGATTTTTCTGGAGAAATGTGTATGTTTAACAAGGTTCTTTCTCCTTTGTCTTACAGCTGATCTTGCATCCTTAATGGACAAAGCATATGAAAGGAAGTTGCCTGTTAGCTCTTTATCAATATCACGGGTAAGACTATTTTAAAAGAAAGTTGGCTGTTAGGTCTTTAGCAGTATCACAGGTGAGAACATTTCAAACATATTTTTAAAGAAGGAAACAAACAAGCAAGACTATAGACAAGGCTGTGTTGTAGAAATAATAGTAACCATGGGAACCATCTTTCCACAGTGTAGTATGTTTTTATAATTACCAATAGATACTTATGTAGTGGCTGAAATGAAAAGAAATAAATATACCAGACTCAAGTTAGCAGTCACTGATTTAGCTTTTTGTCTGTTACACTATACTGTGTTTTTAAAGCTAATATATCTTTCAGTGTAAGAATAGTAAACATACTTTCAGTAGCTGACTAACTCTATGAAACAGTGGATACTAACGTTAAACTGACTGCTGCTGGATAGTATGGAGGACGAATGTCAGCCCAGCAGTTGGATAGGAGTTGATAGGAGCCACTCCAGAGCACTTCCATGGCAGTTGTTCTTCTAGTTTTTTGTCATACATCATGTATGTTCGTTTGCACAGAAGCATGGTGTTTGTGAGGCACAAATGATGAGGTAACTCCAATTTCGCACAGCTTGTAAGCAGAAAGGCTGGAACATCAAAGTTCACCTCTATTGCCCCCATCAAATGTACCTGGTCTTGTCTCCATGGTGATTTCAGGTTATGATACCGGAAGTGAGCAGGATCCTCCAGTGGGAGGTATTAAATCTGGAAGAGGGAAAGGGAAGAAACTTTCCTTCCAATCCTGATCCTTTCTCTGTGCCTTTTGCCCTCTTAATAGGGAAACAGTTCAACTGTCATCGCTTAGATTTGAGGGACTCATGTCCAGCAGAAAGGAGAAGAATTGGGAGACCATTGTTTTCAGGGTGGCCAGCCCTCTGCGAGCTGTAACGTCTGATTTTTGTTTAGGCAGCACTCTGAACTTCAAAGAGCTTTTGTGTGCATGTTCCAGCCTGGGATTCAAGCTCCTCAGGGCGGAAGCCTGTAGCTGTTTATACAGATGGAGCAATAAGTCCCAGAGGGGCTGTGCCATCTGTTTGTGCCACAGCAAGCTATCAAGAGAGCTGGTTCTCAAGCTCAGGGCCTGTGTTTGCACCACATGTTATCTGCCCTTTAATGGATTTCTAAATCAAACCCACAGGTCCTGGTTATTTTTAGAAAGTCTCCCTTTTTCCCTCCTCTCGCTTCATGAGGTTCTAGTTACACTGTCTGCACGCCTGGGCTCTTACTCTTATCTTCCTGCTTTTGACTTCCCACTTGTGGGCAGAATCCATCCTTGGGTAATGTTTTCTGCTCATTTAGATAGTAGGTAAGGAACATACTAGCAGATTTTTTTTCATTTTTTTTCTCAAGTGCTAGAGCCTCATGAATGTGTCAAGTGCTCTCCACCAATGAGTTGCATCCCCAGGCCCAATGCTTAGCAGATGCTATAGCTTAAAGGGAGCCTTCAACCCTAAAACAGTTGTTCCATATCAGCACTAAAACCAGAGTGAAAGTGGTTACACACTGAATTCTCTACACTTAGGTTTTTATATTCTGAACAATATTGTTCCAGCCTTAAGAGTCTGCACCATTTCAACCATGTATTTGGAGGATGAGATGTAGATACAGGGATAAAGGTAATAATAACTGTAAACAATACTTTAAAAAGCTCTCATCTTGTTTGTCTTATATGAGCAGGGTTCAGGTTTGGCTTTTACTTGGTGCTTTATTGTTGTTTGTTTTGTTTGGGACCAAAGTTGTTCTGTCCATAGAAGAGAAGTTATGGTGTATGATTTGTTTTCACCAGTGTGAAGGGTTTTCAGGATGGAGCCATACCACTGGAACACTGTTCCAATAAAAAGAGTACATGTCTTTTAAGGATCAGTGTATGAACTCGACCAAACAGATGGCATAATATGTATCTAACCAAGACTTTTTTCCCCTTTAGTTTGTGGACAACATTTCATCTCGAGAAGATATAGATTCTGCAGAGTACTATCTTTACAAGTAAGATCACCCCTCACCTCTGCTTCACACCTGCTTCTAACACTGGCTGCTTGTTTTTCTTCTGTAGTACTAAGGTGTGTGTGTGTGTGTGTGTGTCTATGTCTGTGTGTGTGTCTGTGTCTGTGTGTCTGTGTGTCTGTGTGTGTGTCTGTGTGTGTGTCTGTGTGTCTGTGTGTGTGTGTGTCTGTGTGTCTGTGTGTGTTTGAATCCAGGTGCATGTGGCCCAGAGCATTAACAGAGATTCATGTGGTTGCTGGATTCTGTTTCCATGTAGAACATGTATAAGACTCTTGTTCACTTCATGTCCATGCTGCTGTGATTTCACATCTTGTCATTTACTTTATTCAGAACTAATGCTTTTATTAAGATGTCATTTTTTAAAATTCTGTTCTTTTCATTATCAAGAAAATTAGCCTCTTCTCTCAGATTTTTTTTTTTTAAATTCTCATGACATCATAGATACTTTTTCTTGTGTAAGAGTCTGGGTAACCTGTACAAAGCTAGTGGTAATGATGCTTGCTCATTGTCTAAATGACTTCTGCTTCCCAGCTTCAGAGAATGTACAAAACATACTAAAGCCGCAGAAAAATGCTTGTGAAAATTGAAAGTTAGAAACTATGAACTCTTGGAGTTTCTTTTGAGTAACTGAAATCAGAGGTAGAACTTGGACATGTGGACACCAGAGACCAGATGCTCTGCGGTACTTCCACTAGGTAGGCCTGCTGTGGTTGCTGTGGCTAAGATCTTTACAGAGTGACTTTTGTCCTCTCAGAATGACCTTGAAGTCACATGCCTAACATGAAGAAACATCAAGCAACTTCTTAATCTTAAATAGCCCAACAGCTTCTGGCGGTCCTGCCTGCAGGTAGCATTTCTTACTCCTTGAGGGAGGTTCCATCACTTAGAGCAGTGGCTCTCAACCCGTGGGTTGTGGCCTTTGGGGGTCGAATGACCCTTCCACAGGGGTCTCCCAAGACCATCAGAAAACACACATTTGCATTATGATTCATAAGAGTAGCAAAACTGTATTTATGAAGTAGCAATGAAAATAAATTTATGGTTGGGGTTCGCCACAACATGAGGAACTGTACTAAAGGATTGCAGCATTAGAAAGGTTGAGAAGCACTAGCTTAGAGTAAAGCATATTGCTGCCTGTGGTATAGGCTTATCTCCTTCCCTGCCATAGCCTGTAGCCACCATCATAGCTTAATTGACCAGTGGAGAACTGATGAACTTTCTGCCATAGAATCTTGGCATGGGTACCAGCAAGTCCCAGGACTTGTGGCACACACTTACCTTTTCATCTTAACATCCCTGTCCCTGGAGAACATTTGAAATATCTAGACATCTTAGACATGAAAGCATGGGAACTCCAGCATCTTGGGGTGCCAGCAATCATTTTAGAAAGGCTACTTTTGAGACAGCAGAAAGGACATTTGATGTGGGTTGTGCAGTGCTCTCTGGGAGTCAGCCACACTGGGATCCTCTGCTTAGGGTAGAAAAGGAAACATGGAGGAAAAGGAGTGGGTGCTGTAGTTACCACAGCAAACAGTGGGTGTTTGAGGCAATCTATGCATTGACAAAAATCTGAACACAGTGATAGTCTGCATCTGAAGGGAAAATAAGCAAGAATAAAAGTGATTCAGACAGTGGGAAGGATAAAACTGAGAGTCAACACTTAGAAAACAGGGCATGTCTTAGAATACCATGTCTTGGTGTTACAGAGATGCCTCAGTTGAAGTGTGGCATCAAAAAGATAAAAACTGACACAGTAGGAAGGACCTGAGGCAGAGGCTTCATGTGATAGGTGTGGTTTGGCTGGGAGGCTGGGGAAACAAGCCTGAGAGTGCAACATATATATATGCTCCTCATGGGCTGCAATACACTCAGTCTTCGGGCCCCCTGGGGCATGGGGTGGGGAGGGATAAGGACCCGAGAGAGGAGAAGCCCAGCTCTGCTGCCACAGGCCCTTTGCTTCTGCCAGAGAAGCCATGCTTCCTGCTACTTTCTATATCGGGGTCTGCAGAGAACATTTTATAGAGATCTGCAAATTGGATAAGCATAAAAAAGCACATTTTAGTGTCTCAATAATGCTTAGCATTTTCTTCCATTATGAGTGTAGATGACAGATGCCTGCACTATTTGCAGCATTTGTCTTTCTCACCAATTAAAGTCATCGATTTTTTTTTTTTTAAACCGTATCACATTTGTAGCAGATTTCTAAAAACTGCTCATCGCAGCTCAGAAGCCGGTAATTAGACCTGGTTCTGGCTGTGGGGTTCCATGCACTAATGATGCAGCGCATATGTTGCGTTATCTCAGAACTTCTTAGTATCTTGATAATTGTATTTCAGTGTAACTGGTTTCAGTTGTGAAAAACCAGTTTGGAGAAGGGGTCCCCAGGCCCACCTACCAGAGGGATCAAGGTGCAAAATACAAAAAGTTAAGGGCCTCCTCTGAGGCCTTGTGAGCTATAGGTTCTTTTGCCGGGTCTTAGTCCTGCTTCCTTCTGCAGGCCTTTGAAGTATTCTTTGTGTTCTTTTCATACACTTTCTTTTCTTATTCTAGCTTGCCCTGTGAAGGAAGACAAGCACATGGCTGATAGGTACTCCGTCTCCAAATGAAACATTAGGTACAGTCAGTCCCTTAGAGTCCCCATCAAGATGAGGTAGTTGAGGAGATTCTGCAGGCCCCAACAGGCTGTTTGGGGAGCAGGACATTTCTGTTTTATTTTGGTATCATCAGCACCCGGGGTGTGGTGAGGTCAGAAAGCAGCCGCAAGGGAAGCTTATATGATGCAGGAATAGTCAGCCAACGCAGCTGACACAAAGGCCATTCAGCGGTCAGTGTCTGGGGATGGTCTTTAGTCTTTCGACTTAAAAACTTCCATATCCTCTGCTAATTTTTAAAACAACTAGGCTCCAAACACTTTTTTTCTTCCAAGCAGAGGATTCAATTTACTGTTTTGCTGTCCTTTGAGAGGGAAAGGCTTCCTGCCTTTACTGTCGCTGGCAGCATTCCTAGGCATTATTAGCTTTGTAGCCCTCTTTTACTGACACTGAGGCAAAGAGAGATTGCCCGAGTGGTGAGTATGGTGTGTGGGAGCTGCCTGTTCTGAGCTGGGAAGCCACAAGCTCCAGAAGGGCAGCTCTGTGAAGGCAGTGTGGGCCTGCCCAGAGCAGGACGATCAATCGTGAAGGGATCCAGGCAGGGCTGTGACTGGTAAAGAACCCAGGCAGGGGGTTAATTGTTCCAAAGGGAGCTACAGCAGAAGGATTCAAGAGTGTGATTCAGAGCACAGTGTGGTGGGGAAATTGGGTTTACAAACAAAAGGAAATCCCTGGAATGTCTTGTGGACTGCTCCTCAGTTTATTGTGAGACTGTCACCCCTTATCCCTTTTGGAGTGCTGCCTGTCTGGGGTCAGTGTTATTGTATGGTGACTGTCTATAAGTTTCATACAGTGAACACCTCTTTTCCATTTTGAAGACCAGCTTTCCTGGGCCTGCTAGTCAGGTTCTGAGCTGGACTCCCCTGTCCATGTATACTGTCTATACTTAGACAGTGAACCTGGAGTCTGATTGTGTCTCCATATTCAGGAGACAAAACTACATGTCATAGGGAAAAATGTGCCATCAATAAAAGCCATTATTTGTGTGGTTATAGCAAGCTTTAACAGTTTCAGTGTTAGCATTTTATGACTATACTAATGGCATACAACTCCAGCTACAATACTTGTGCACTCCCTTTTGGTGTCCTCCTTACTGAGAATGTGTGCCCATTGCAGTTTTAAAGGCTTATTTAGGCTTCTGCATCTTTGGCGGGAGACGGGACGGACTGTGGTGTTTACAAAAGCATGAAATTGAACTTGCTCCCCTTACCCTCAGAGCATCAGTCATCAGAACTGGTTATTTAATCCACAACATGATGGTCATTCCTGAAGGGTGACAGGCCTCTCCAGTTCTAAAATGGCCTGTAGTTTCCAGAAAAAGCATGGAGAGTGTGGAATCCATTGTCACACAGTCCAAAAGGCTGCAGAGCTTCAAGGACAGCTCTTTCCCTCAGAATCAGACTCCTGGGTTGTCATAGAGAGCAACATGTAATGAAAGGAAGTAATGAGAGGAAGGCTAAGCTGGGAGGCTCTCCATGGTGTGGCAGCATGTCCATCCATGCTGGGCTGTGGCCTCAAGCGTCCTTCCACAGTTGCTCAGCTGACCTGGCAGATAACAGGCGACAGGTCAGGAACAGCTGGGAGGAGGCAGATGGTAGCCTGCATGTCTCCAGTTCCTAGGTTGGCAGCCTCTCGAAGGACCAAAATAGCTTCATTTTTCAATGAGCAAAAGTGCTGTGGTGGCTCCTTGGAAGGAGTGTTGTAGGAATCTTGTGCCTGTGGGGAGAGGGGGTGGGAGGTCAGGGTTCTTTAGGAGTGAGCTGCGTGTGAATTAGTTTTCCTCTGAGGTCTTGGAGATTGTATTCTATGGCTATCTTAAATTTTTCTGTTAGCATTGCTTAGTCTCTGGGAAACTCAAACTGACAGCAAGCAATTCCTAGAGCGTTTTTAGGAACAGTTCCCTGCTTTAACACTGCGGCATGCTGTAGTTGTTTTTATTTGCTAATCTTAACCCCAAGCCAGAGAGATAGTCCATATTATTAATACTTTGTATTAGATAATAGCAAATTGGCAATTTTAGTTTCTGCCTCACCAGAGAGTCATGGGTTTGGTGATGAGAGTAAGAACCTTTGGCCCCTGCTCCTTCAGAGTCTGTACTTTCCCCTCTGATCAAGTTAACAAGACTATGGTGTGAAGTTCATTTGCTGTGCTTCCCAATGTTGCTTATGGTTCCCAGAGTGATCTGAGATGACTGCTGTCTTTACTACATCAAGAGGTGATTCCACATCCTGTTCTAGCAGGCTGTGGCAGCCCAGGCTGCTAAGAATACCTATGGATCCAACTTTGTATTGACTTGTCCTTTTGCTTAAAATGGCTGGAACATATTGAAGA